TGGTCAGACACATCTGGGTCCCAAGATGGGTTCCCCACTACAGGAGGGACAGAGGCATACTGGAGGGAGCCCAGCAAAGGACCACAAAGAGGATTAAGGGACTGAAACATCTGTCATACGAACAGATGCTGGAACTGTTCAGCCTGGAGCAGAGAAGGCTCAGGGGCATCTTATGAAAATGTATAAATACTTTAAGGGGGAAGGAAAGAAGATGGAGTCAGAATTTTCTTGACAGGATAAGAAGCAAATGGGTAGAAGCTGAAATACAAGAAATCTCATTTAACATAAGAAACCACTTTACTATTGTGAGGGGAGTTGAACACTGGAGCAGGCTCTTCACAAAGGCTGTGGAAACAAAAACTAACTGGACATAGACCTGAGCAGCTAGTCTGTCTGACCCTGCACTGAACAGAGGTTTGGACCAGGTGATCTCCAGAGACACCTTCCTGCCTCAGCCCATCTCTGATTCTGTATGTGAGGCATTGTGATAAACTTCATGGTAAAACACAACACACTTGCATATTCACTGTTTTTGGCTACCAGAATTCTTTCTATTAAATTATCCAGGCTGAAGAAAAAAAAAAAAAGAAATCAAAACCAATTTGAAGTTAGATAAGTGGATATATAGTCACAAGAGTAAGCTGTAAAGTGTAGACAGACATGTCTCATCCATTAAAAAAAAAGAAAAAAAGAGGAGAGTCTGGGGGAGCTGAGCCTCTTCAGCCCACAGGAGAGAAGTTTTGGGAGAACATAATGTTGTCTACAACTGCCTGACCAGAGGATACAGAGAAGACAGAGCCAGACTCTTCTCAGAGCTTCACAGTGGAACTAAAAAAGGCAACAAAAAAAGTCAGAATGTGGGAAATTCTGATTAGATAGAAGAACTTATCTGTTTGTTGATTTACCATGAGAGTGGTCAAACACTGACACAGGGTGTGCAGACAGGAATCTTCTCATGAAGGAATTCAATGTGGGAATGCAAGACACAACTGGACACAGCTCTGAGCAACCAGATCTAATTAGATCAGTTTCTGGAGGTCCCTTCCAGTCTCCTTTATACTGTGATGATTTGATCACAATGACTGCAGAAAGACCATGTATGTAATTCTTAGGCAACTCTCCAAGTATGAGTATGTGGAGTATGGTAGCTTGTAATTGCTTTGCTCTTGATGAAACTTAAAAGAATAAAAGAAAGAATGTCATAAAAGACAATGAATCTCTCCTCTTTCAGACTGGTTACTGCAAATCATCTCTGCAAAACTATTAGCAAGAAGTTATCTTAGTCATGAAAGACTGGTTTGGAAGACTTCCATAACTGACACTTTACATTTATTTTATTAAATGCATAACAAACCACACAAGTATGACATCAAGCTTTTCACTTCTGAAGTCACTTATCATTTATACCTTTCACTGTTACCCTGTCAACACAGCATGGTTTTTCCTCACAGATATTTGTACATAACCAAGTGTTATCTAACTCCTGGTGAAGGTTCTTGGTTGTACTTCAAGATACATCAGTATTATCAGGAGAACTTATATTGACAAAACAAAGCAAAGCAAACCAAACAATAACAACAAAAAAAAAGATATTAATGCCAAAGAAGAATCCTGAAAATATTTCACAGTGTGTGGGGTGGTGGCCTGAGGAGGGGCAGAAGATGAGGTTGGTCATTGCAGTATCCTGCACACTCAACACCTGTTGAGTGTGAACCCCCGTAGGTACAACCCTGTGCTGGCCACCAGCACTACCAGCAGAACCCCAAGGGCAAGGGGATGTGCTGGGCAGACATTTGAAATCAGCTCAGCTGTTGATGGGCTATGGCTCTGTCCACAAGGATAATGCCAATGCAGCAAAGCCTTCTTCCCTTCAGCCTTGGCACAACACAAACAGCTCCCCCTCTCCCACAGGAACTCTGGGAAGCCTGCACAGCACCATGCTGGGTGGATAACAAATGGGCAGCAGTGCCTCCTCTGCCCCTTAACCAATTCCACAGCACAGACATGTCCTGCAACCCCTGCACTGACACCTCAAATCAACATCTACTTCTGGCATGTTCATACTTGGATCTCCTCTCCTCAGACCAGACCTGGGCTTACTGTCTCTGTAAACACCTCAATTGATTCCACTTAGGTTCAGGTTTGCTCCCACTGGGACTGATAAAAGAGCAGTCAGTGACCAGAGCAAACCCCTCAGAGTGCTCTGCTATTTGTTCACAGGTGAAAAAAATTGGAACAAAGAGGTCTGAAATAGATTCTCAGGCTTCCCTATTTCTCCTTTGAACTTCACCTTCCTTGAATCCTCTTACAGACCACTTGGCTGTTCCAGGCCCTTTCCTTAGATAAATATTGGCAATGAACACTCTCACAGGCAAAAGGGATTTTTAGCTGCTTACTGATCCTTTGTGCTCTAGATGCCAGCTAGACAGAAGTGTTGTGCCTCTTTACATTGGATTCTAGATGCTACATGAACTGTTACTTTGGTTTTCTTCAACAAATTCATGGGCCAAACTCTCATTAAAAAAAAATAAAAAAAGAGAAACCAACTATATAATATTTTTTTGGTAGAAACGCCCCTAAAAGGAAATTAAAATACAGATTTGCAAAGGAGATTTCATACTACACTCTTACTGGCATAAATGGAATCAGCATTTCTTGGCACTGTGCTTGATGACATACAAATGTATTAGAAAAGATTTCCCTGTCCTGAAGACTTCATATATTTTTTAGCTATCTGAGAAACTTCTAAATCAGTGGTTTAATTCACTGGCTAGTGTTTCAGAGAGCTATAGGAGTTAAGTTAATTTTCTTCAGGGCATGAGTTTCAGGTTACATTTTTTGTTTGAGAAAAATAAATTCCAAATGTCATCCATGTGCTTTCCTCGGCCTAGCAATCCCTTGCAGGCATCAGCCTGCACATCTTTTACTAGGGAGTTAAGATGGGCATCTTCATTCTTTCCTACTGGGCTTTTCCTCCAAAAGATTAATTTTCAGTCTTTCTTGTTTGCTTTATACTGGGCTTGTATTCCCAGGCTACTTCTGTAGGAAATTGCATGTTTCAGACTATCTTTAATATCTAAGAAGCCTCTTTGAAAGGGCCAGCTTGTCCCGAAACAAGATTCAAGATAAATTGTGTAGCCAGAGACTTTACAGACAAGCACCCAAAGGAGAAGGTCAGATTTTTTATTCTTTATTCTACCATCTATGGATGTTTAATAATATTTTTAGGACACTTTTACAAAATTTTGTCTCTTGATTCTTCTCACTCTAAACTTCTATATGATCCCTTACTTGTACAGCTAATTTATGCAGTAACTGATGTGAATAAACCAATTGTAATCACTTAGGCAACCAATTTTGCCATTGTCTTATCTCTGTTATCCTTTCTATTTTATCTTTTGCTCATCCTTTCACTTAGGTATAAATTCAGGGAATAGTTGAAGGTTCTGAATCTTGTTTCTTCACTTTTCCCCTGACTACTGTCCTGGTTACACTGGAGAGACCAGAGAGCTGGTGTCAGAGTTCACCACAGTATGCTCAGGCCAAAAAGGTGAATATGAAAAATACCCGTGTCTCTGAAGTATTCAGGAACCCACTGAAACCCAAAACAAACCAACTGAGCCCTTGCAAGACCTACTGAAATGTGACATTAAAAAGTCTAGAGCATTTCTATGAAGGACTAGAGCAGATCCCCTTGGAAATCCATGGGCTACTTTTCCTTCAGTAAATTTGAAATGGATCTGACACCTGTACTCTGCATGGATAATATTGTCAGTTGTTCAAACTTCAGTGTATTGAAGCTATACTATTTTGTTCCAATGCTGTAATTATCATCACACCAAACCAAGAATACGCACTCAGTGGGAGCTATAAATAACTACTATTAATTGTGTGCTATAAATAATTCCTGTTAAAAAACCTGACTTTTGGTTCAGAGTAACTGTAATAAATAAAAATTTCTTTTTCTAAAGGCAATCCTAATTAGATGCACTCTTGTACTTGTCAAGTTCTTAAACACAACTCTGGACCTGCTTTCTATGCATAATTATCTCTCAAATGATACCAACCTAATTAACCTCCTTCTGTGTCTAGTTTGCATTCAAGCCAAACCCAGAAGCACAGTCACTGACAGCCCAGGAAAGGTACAGTCAACCTGCTTTTGGTTTGGGGCTTCTATACCAAAATCCAAATTTGCCTGAAGCAGGTCCTGATTGAAGCAGCAAATATTCTGCCAGTCCTAAGTTGGTGTTTATTCAACACAGAAAGAAAATAAACTCCAGCTGTGGAGGCCTAGAGCTCTCCACTGAGCATGTAAAAATTGAAGCAAGTTGGGCATATTTGAGCAATTTTTGTAGTACTATTAAAGGCACCTTCTCTTCTGCCCTCTTACTACAGTAATGAAAGGGCAGAAGATATTTTCTGTAAGAGGTTGCCTGAATATTAGCAGAAGACCAGATTTCCTGAATTACTGAAGCCTTTTGGTGGAAAGGGAAAGGAAGGAGTGAAAAAGATGGATAATTTTAACCTAAAAAATTACGGTTTTCCAGAAATAGATTGAAAGTAGGATTTTAGAATGGAAAATGCTAGGCACTGTTCAGAAGCAACACTTGCCAGCCTGAAGGCAAAATCATTGTAAAACTGGACAGGACAAAACAGAAGTTCTAAAGAAGCATATACAGATATTTTAAAACATTAAATATATGAAGAAATAGAAATCTGTATAAGAGAAGGCCTATGTACAAAGCCCAAGAATAGAAGTGAGGTCAATAGGAGCTGAAAAGTCTCTACACTGCTTTTAGCAGCCAGCTCATAGTTATAAAGCATGGAAGTGTTAAAAACTGTGCTTTATGCGATTTCTAAAAAAATTGTTCTTTGGGGTATATATTGACTCAAAGCACGACAGTTCCCAGTAAAGAAACTAGAATAGCACTTCCTTCATCCAAGTCATCAGCTCCACACTAATTGAGTAATAACAACACAGTAATGCAGCTTCCCCTTACCATTCAAGCTGTAGACTTAGTGTTTAAACGGTGACTTGTTTTTCCAGATACGCAGTGTAAAATCCCTAAAGACCTAGAAAAGGAAGGCAATAAAAGGCAGTTAGAAAAGCATGTGTTTTACTAAGTTTGACTGGAGATCTGTTAATTTTGTATGATTTCTGGCTTGAGATCTAGCTGAGCACATCAGTGGGAGGTTAATTTAAATGACGCTGGAATTGACGTCTTCCGAATTTTCAACACTATTGGGCCCATAAAGGGCAACTTGACAGCATCAAATCATCAAGGCACACACCAAATGTTCTGTTCACAGTTACCTTCAAGTCCTTGGGCTGAACTCACCTGACAGTGTTGTTTAACAAGGAATAAGGCATTTCCCCATTGCTTCAGTGCCCCCTTTTTGAGAAGGCACTGATAATACTCCTTTGCATTTATTTACTTCTTCTAGCACAGGTAGTTCTAAGACTACTAAAGCACAATCAATTTGAATGTTAAAATATCCCATATCTACAAATTAACACCCAAACTCCTCATATCTCTTTTTGTAAACTTACATATTAAAGTAGGTGAGATGTGCTACACCAAAATTGATAGCAATTGTGATAGGTCAGAAAAATAGCAACATTCTCCTCAGTGCAAAATAATAGTTTTAAAAGTCAGTGTTGTTTAAGGTTTCACCTGAGTTAATATTGAAAAATTTCCTAACTTATTACTTTACACTAAGGAGAACAATACTTATCACCTGAAATAATGATTAAGGTTGTCTCTACTACAGATTCTCAAATCTCTATAGAAACAAATACATTGGCCTACAATCTTCCTATAACATATCAGAGAATCTCTTTTACCCACATAAATGGGGGGTAATTCTCTCACAGAACACAGAGGAATCAGACTCTAAAATGAGAAGCTATCAGTATGGTAGTTTTCCCTCATATACCTTCAAAACCTAAACTCTTTGCTTTGGTACATGCTCAGCAGGAAAGCTGGCACTAGGGGCATCCAAAAAGCTAAAGATGGAGAACAATCAGACATGAGAAAATTATTTATAGTTCTGGTGGAAATCAGTGTACAAACCCAGTGCTACTGATTTATTCTTTTTTTTAAGTGGAGGTATATTTAAAGGAATCTGTAAGAGATTTTAAACAGCAATCTGGACTTTTAATATTGCTAGAAACAAAATATTATTAAAGCTATAACTGTAACTGCTAATATTTAAAAATATTCTTTGTGTTTCTTAAATCAGCATTTTACTTACGATATTCACCAGATGTTATTCATGTTAAATAGGAAAGTATATTCAACTAGGAACTAGAACTAAATAAACTGAAGGCTAATTAATCAGAAATAACGTGAGTTCTAATATAGCTATAGTACTTCTTATGTAGCTACAGTACTTACAGATAATGTTTAGCTATAAGGACAAGGAAGACACACACACCAACACACATCCCCCCAGTGCCAGAATCCTTAAGAAGTTATCACAGCATGATCTCCACTTATGTGTGTTCTCTTGTGGAGTGCTAACACTGCGTATAATGGAGACTGTGGAGTGGAAATATCAGCAAAGATCAACCATTGTAAATCTTTCTGCAAGCACTGGAACTGACACAGCCAATTAAACTGGTTCATATAAGAAACGGGCAAGTCCATAAACACGGTAGAAAGACAAGTAATTTGGTAGTTAATTCGCATAACAAAAAGCAAGTCCATAAAGTTGTTTCCAATTCAACGCTGCCCTTAAGAAGCGTGTTCTCCTTAAAAGGGAGCATGTAGACGCAGTAAGGGTCATCAGCTCAGCATTAGACAGTACATGATGTGGACATGAATCAGCTATCTTCTCCCAAAGAGAAGTTGGCTAAATGTTTCTGGATGGGTCCTCAAGTTTCTGGACAGGTCCTCTTGTTTCTGCTCAAGTCTCTCTCTCTGCCAACTTCTGCCTCCCTACCATTCCTGGATATATTAAAAGAAATTGATATGCACTGCAGGAAGCCACATCAAAGGCCCCAAAGCAAGCTATTAATTTCTCACCTTTATAGTATTGCTTTAGAGAATTCAAAATATATGTGCTTAGTAAGAAACACATGAATAAAAATTCACTGTCTTGAATTTCCAAGTGTCAGTTGTCCAAAGAGTCACATGATAAGAAGGTGGAGCTTTTTGGTTTATTTATTCAACCGAATGAAATGGTATTACCTCCTGCAAATGTTACTTAAGTAATCACACTGCAAAGACTTATTCTTCCACTCTGTCCCAAAGTAAAGTGAAAAGTAATTTCATTTTCACATTGGTTTCAATATTGGAACTAGCACAACTCCTGGCATTGCTCCTTACTACAAGCTTTGCCTTTCTTCCAAGACAGCTTTGTTAATATTATTGAAATAAGAACCTCTGGAGTGATTTTCTGAGCAAGCAAGAGTTTAAAACAGTTTGAGGAGAGTGTGAGGTTACTTACTGGGAGGAGAGTGGGAAGCAGTACAGATAAAGGAAACAAAAGGCCCAGCTAGATGACCTGCAGATTTGGACCTTTACTGAAGCTCCGAATGTCAGTTAGGCTCAACAGAATACAAAAGCACAAGGTTTGGGTAGAACTGGAATTTGGCAAGATGTCCTCACGTTGATCTTGGAAAACAGCAACAGGAAGATGGGCAGAGATGTAGGCAGTCTGCCACACACACACCTTTCAGCTTCATTCTGTTTTATATACCACACTCACACCAAAACATAAACTCTTTGCATTCAACTCCATTTTCACAAAAAAAAAAAGGCTTCCTAAAAACCAGTTGCTTTAGTTTTCCACGTCTTCCCCCTCAACAGCTAAGCCAGTTGTGAATGGTGTTCAACACTTCCCTGAAGCAGAGGAAGGACGAGAAAGGAGAAATGACCACCCCATGTTCCAACTGGAAAGTTTCACTGCTGTTTTGGACACTGTGTTTCGTGAGCACCAACTTGGGTTTCATAAGTGATCCCTCCCACCAGACCTCCCGCTCTTCCCTATGAGACTGGGAGGAACAGATGGAGAAAAATCAGGTCTTCTGCAGGGGTTTTTAAGACAAGTTACTGCATTTCCAGTTTAAAAAAAAAAAAACACAAATGTCAAAGGGAAGTCTAATGAAATGTGCTGGTTCATAAATGCATGCTGAAGTGAACAGGAGAAAAAAATGTCGCAAATGGCAAAAGAAGGTATACAAATAATGTTTAAAATACAGAAAGTCTCAGTGTACTGTGAAATATTGCATGTAATTTTAGGAAATAAAGACAGAAAAAAAATTAACACTGCAATTGCTTTGAAGCCCATTTCACTGGATATGTGGGGGTTTTTTCCCTCAAGTATTAAAATATTATTTTCAAATGTCCCAGCTGCAACTTTAGAAAGCATAATCCAAGGGATTCAAGATATCTACTGATATAGAAGGCCTGCAAAATTCTAAAAAAATTCTATTCAGGCATAGAGCACATATTTTTATTTTATTAATATCTATAAATTAGTAACTACTTTGTGCAGTAGAGAATGGATACTGTGGCTCCATATCTGGTTTGGACCCAATAACCCAAGTAATGGAGCTGAATAGAAACTTGTTTCATCACTAAAAAGTACAGTTAACTTCAGTAAACTTATAACTTTTAGATCATCTCTTAGAGCATGCTCTAAGCCATTTAAAGATAATTGTGGTGAAGCTTGTCATCTGTCCTAAAGCTTGGATACAGAGAGGTCTTTTTTATTGCCAATGTCTTGATTTGCATGAAGTAAACCATATTTGTTTTCAAAGTAAGATGTTTTCAAAATATTTTGCTTAAGGTAATAGAACAAACAGAGAACCTGATATGGAACTCAAAGACATTGCCCTGCGGCTATTTTATTCCACAGCCATCTAATATAGGACTTCTAAACTCCAAAGCACCTGGAACTGGCTACCATCACAGAAAACATATGGAACAGATGGCCTGCAACCTGTTTCAGCTTGCAATCTCCATGGCCCTAAAACATTAATTTCACTAAAATATGTAGTGAAACCTCATCACAATGTGTGATATTTGTAAAGTAGGATCTCATTTTAAAACTCTCCTTGAATCAACATAAGTTTAATTTGCATTTCATTGTTCTAACCTACTATATGTCAGGCACATAACCCAAACCTATGTCAGAACATCATATGCATCTCCTGACAGAGAAAAAACACACATATTAATTAAAAATAAGAATAAAAAAAAAGAGTGGGGTTGCTAGCTTATGAAAAATATTTTCTGTGAGCGTAAATGAATACTCAGTCCACAGAACCAGCCTGAACCTAATCTGAAGTAAAAACTTCAAAAGTGTCCCCAGGTGTGCACATCAGGTCCTCAGCAAAATGTTTTGCTTTTCAGATTTGCTTCTATTGCACTCTAATATGTGCTAATGTAAACAAGCAAACTGATGCATTCAATTTTAACTATGATTTACTCTGAAGAGCTACATTTAAAGTTTTAAGATCTTGGTAAGCTTTCAGCATAGTGCAGCTGTTCTCATAAAGATGTAATGAAAGTGTAGTGCCAAATCTTTAGTTTGGCTTCAGACATATGAAGCAAACATAAGAGATTTAAACAAATGGACATTTACTACTGTTTACTCAAGGGTGATTTGACCTGAACCATCAGCAGAATCCAGCGGTACTTCTTGGTGTGGACGACCACCATGTTTATGGGCTAGTCCACTGCAACACCAGCCACACAAACACGAACAAAAAATCTGGGACCATCAGCTGTGTAAGTCAAATTGTATGAAAATGAGATTTTTTGAAACTACTATTCAGTGGTTTCCTAGCTTTTTACAAACGCGTTTTAAAAATGTGTTTTCTGCTAGCCAGTATTACAGCTTGAACTTTATCCAAGTAATTTGTAAAGATATGTGTATACCAAACATCTGTAACAAACTGAGGGTTTCGGCCAGGCAGAGAACTGCTCACTGCACAAACAGGTACTCTGGACTCCCCACTGGGCAGCCAACTGACCTGCACATTCTGCCTGCCAAATCGTGTCCATTAAACAACTTACACAGTAAAGTAGGCTCATTCCACTGCTGCACTCCCCAAATATTTA